ACACAGGTCCGATGAGTACGTTTCTTCGAGCAGGGTGCAGGAGATGCTATGGGGGATTGAATCCTGTGAAGAAGCTTGTTTCGTAGTAAACCGGCGGGGGGATCGGTGGAAAGGGGGCAGGATGAGGACGGATGCGCTCAGTGGAGAAAAAATAGCAACGTGTTTCGGGTTGTCCTTGGTACCATGGGATAGGAGATGGGGGTAACAACGCGGGGGGAGGGGGGGTTCCAAGCCAAAGTAAGACGCCAAGCAAGACACTGGACATAATTCGTTTCAGCTGCACTTGCGTAATAGAAGTATGAAATAGCGAGAGGGGTTGGAAAAGTGCTGTCGATGTGGGACAGCGATCGCACAGCAGCAACATGTTACGATTTTCCTAGTTGGCCAGCGGCGGCGACCTTGACAGCGAATCAACCAAGGTCTTGTTATTGTGAAGGCACGACAAGCATGAGGCTTGGATGGAGCTGTCCGTCGAGAGCGATAACGAGTCGTGAGACGGTCGAGCACGAGAGCTCCCCCTGCGGGCGTACGCACCAAGACATGGAATTGTCACGCGGTACAGGTACAGTAGCATTGTAGGCGATGGTGCTGAAGAGGGGGGCGGGAGGAAGAGACACTGGACTTTGAGGTTGAGGTCGGGGCGATATGGATGTAACGTTGGCCAGTGTGTTGCCAAACCTCTGGTCAGTAGCTCGTAGTCATCGGTACCGGTCCAACTGTCCCCAAACGGGGGTACACACTCGTGAAAAATATAAATGGAAATGATACTGGACTCACAAGTCCTCGAAGCCGGTGTGAATTAGGAATGAATCCACCACCGCAGGCTGTCTGCCGATAGAGGAAGTGGGCATGGAGTAAGGGGGGCCCATGCTGCCGCCTACTGACGACTTGAGCTTCTTCGCTCTGCTCTCTTTCTTGGTTGAAACCCTTTCCCGCACGACACATGCATGATGAATGCATGGATTTTGAGGGCACGCTACCGACCACACATACCTGCATGCTACATGGATTATGATGGCAGGCAATCGAGAGGTTTGTTCTGGAGTCTTGTGGAGGTTGTCGACGAGCTGCCCGTTTGAATCGACAACCCGGGACTCCCCCCCCCCCGTCAATGGTCTAACGACTACACGGGTTTACATGAGTACACCCCCCCTTCGCTATCTGTTGCTGCGAAAGAGAAAGAGGAAGAGAAAATATGGGAAGGCCTTGAGAAGAAACTCCAAGGTGGAGGGCCCACAGAGTACACACACACCTCTGTTATTGTTGTTTCGTTCCGGAAGAAAGAGAAGAAAAACGGTGGTATAATAGTGCCATAGTCCAAGAGAAGCTCAAAGGCAAGGGGGGACAGGGACGCGCTACTGCTGGACGTAGCCGGGCGAACCCATCCCTCCTTAGACCCATTTTTTTTCACAGATTTCTCGGCATCCTGCGGGATCGATACGGAGGAGGCAGAGATCGGCCTTGCCCCGATGCCTACCGCGCCATAGCGCATCTATACACACCTGCATTGTGTCTGGACTCCGATGACTTGGCGAAAAACAGGATGGGACCGAGAAAAAAAGAGGACTCTTCGCTGTTATGTCATCTCGACGGGGGGGGGGGTGTTTGGTGTTTCCGAGAAAGGAAGGGCGTATGATACCCGGGTTGAATCGGCGTCGTTGTATGTCTTTCGCTCCCCTTTCGTTCCTCCACCGCGCCTGACGATGTGAAACCCACGTTGTCATTTGTGATTGTGATGGAATAAATTGACTGCGAACGCTAAAGCTTAAATGTGTCACCACCCTTGATATACACATACATGCTCATCACTAAACGTCGTCGCGTCGACCCACCTACTGCTATGTGCCCCCGCCGTAATGGGCAGGGGCAAAGATAAACAGGACAAAATAAAGGTGAAAAGTGACGTTAACAGCAGCAACAGCATAGTTCGACCAGCGCCTCCCCCCATCTCCAGCCAAGTCAAGTCTATCTTCTACGGTACAACCAAGAGCTCCCGGTCAGAGCAGCGAGATGAGAGAGAAATACACGCAGCACACTGAGCAACACACTCTCTCCCTCCAAACAAACGGCGCGGTGAAACAACAGCACAAACAACAAGAGAGATAATTCGCACAAAAAAAAAACATGACCGAGTCTAGAAAAAGAAGACACACCCTGTGGCACGCACTTCGTTCGCTGATTGGTCAACGCACCTGCGAACTTTCTTTTTAAGCCCCCGCCATGCGTAAACGGTAACCATCATCTTCCCAA